TTTTTCATTCATTTATATAATAAATGATAAGTTTTTCAATATATTTCATGTCATAATATATACTAATTCTTAAATTAAGATTACTCATTTTAAAAATTTAGTCATGATATAAAAGCATATATAAATAAGATAAAAATTTTTCCTAGTACACTTGTATCTATATATATGAAGACTTATCTCAGGAATGCAAGACTGATTTAACATTCAAAATCAGTCAATATAATTCACTATAGTAACAAATTTAAAAAGAAAAAAACAACTAATAAAATAGTTGACATAGACAAACTAGTTAAGACCCAAAATCCACTCTGAGCAAGGAAGGCTCAAATAAATTTCCTCCTCTATTCTAACTTGTGGAAAACTCCTTATTGGCTAAAAAGACCTAAATTTTATAGACTTAAATATTTGTACTAAATATCTACACTAAGAGACATTTTATTCCCTCTACTTAAGGAAACTTAGATTCACTTTTACTTCTGAAAAGTACTCTAGTGACTTAAGATTTGTATATCTTTAGTCTATATTTGTTATATCATAAACCTTTAGTGATGGAATATGATTATGCTAATTGTGTGTCCAAATAAAAGCTTAGGAGGAAGAATGTGTCATTTGCTTTATGATGCTATATACTTTGAAATTCAGTATCTTGTCTTTAGATGGAATATTCAATAAATACATCCAACTGAAGATTTAGTAAGTAATAAAGCACATGAGTTATTTGTTGGGGTTAGAGCACAGCAAATAAGCTCTCCACTTGTTTTATTATTTCAAGTGCATTTATATACTGTGGAAGAATAAGCAAACAGAATTGGAAATTGAGACCACTAAGTTATATTCATTATTTCTTACTCTAGAAATTCTTGAAACTTGTGGGTGACAGATTTGTCAAAGTTCTCTTTACCATCTGAAAAAAGGACAACCCATTCTCTGTTATGAGCTGTCATTAGTAATTTAGCAGAGCTAGAAGGCAGTTCAGCCGAGTAGACAGAAAATTAAAACATGGGCAGCCTCTGATTGGAAATTTATTCATAGCAGGTAATGAAATAGCACAGTCAGGATCCCTAGCATTTCTCAGAGTGAGAGATTTAATTCTGATAACTTTGATGATGGCACTTGAATTAGATTATAAATGGTGACAAGTTGTGACTTATAGATAGAACGAAAATGAGCAACATATCTGTACAGAAGTGATTCCATATAAGATCATTTTTTTTCAAACAGTACATATAATAACTTCAAAACTTTATCAGAAAAGTTTCAGAAAGGCTTAATATTTAAGTAAAGCAGGTATCATTTCATATGTATTTGCCAGTATGATTATAATACTAAACAATCTACCAGAGGTAAAGAGCAGAAAATAATTTATAGTTAAAATATGTAATATTAATTGCAGTTTCCAATTTCATCATGTAAGACACCAGCTCTAAAGTATAGATAAAGTACCTATCACAAGGAGATGAGGAAACTGAAGGATTACTTTTTTATGTATTTATAGACATGTACAAAATACTCCTTAAATGCACTCACATCTAAATAAAAGTATGTTATAGTATTTATATGAAAAATAACAGGTAACTTTACTGTGTATTTCTGTGCATTTTATATTTTAAATGAAGTGTATTTTTTTTAAATTGTCTTTCAGATGTAACTCTCTACAGTATAAAAATATGTATGGTTCAAGTAAATAATCTTTCCACATGGATAGATATTTTAATATGTTGTTTGATTTGTAGATTGGCAACTGCCGCTGATATGTGATCAAATTTTTTTAGACATATAAATTTTAATTTATCATTTTAAAATTCCTGAGTAATACTTCACTTAATGAGGGATCTCTGTCCCCTATTCCTGGAACTTATGATTTGTCTGATCAATAATTTACAGCTTACATGACAACTGCATCACTTTCTAGATCTGGGTCATATGAAATTATATTCTGTATATCTTTTGGATTCTAACTATTGTATGAAAGCCCAAGACACAGAGTGAGCTAAATAGAAAGAAACCAAAGTCCTTCGGCACAAAGTCATTGTTGAGATCCTAGCTGAGAGCACAAACTGTCAGTCATGTGATTGAATAACCTTCAAAGTAGATGCTCCACCCCCTCATTAAGCCATCCCAACTGATGTTAAGAGATCTGTCCCTGCCAAAATGTGTTGAAAATAGAAATCTGAGAATAACATAAATACCTGCTCTTGTCTTAAATCTCTAAATTCTAGACAGCTCTCTTAAATAGCAATAAAGAAACCAAAGAATAGAGTAAGTTTTTCAGTCATTATTGTTAAAACTATGAAAATGGTTTTAATTAAATTACACATGTTGCATGTAGTAAGAAGGAAGTAAATATAAATGAAAATACCTATAAAACTTCATCAGGCTAATGGGAATTATATCAGTAACTTTTAAAATGAATTGTATAGGTAAGTACTGAGACAAAAACTAAAAGTATTCCAGACCTTTAAGTATTTCCTATATTGAAAAATCTAATTATTAAAGAATTGCTTTTTAATTGGGTTTTATACACTGGCTCCATCATGTTATCTATATTGTTTAATCATAGAATAAACCTATACAAAAAATACTGACTATTGAAAAGGCAAGATATAGAGATACTGGCCTGATAAAACAACATGCCAAATAAAAAAGTAACTTCTAATATACTGATTTTACAGAGAACTAAGCCGATATGACATAATAAATATTTTTAAATATTCATAAAAAATAATCACAAGTTAAAACTATAACATATACTACATACCAAAAAATGTGTACCTGAGAACCATTACTGGTTAATTCAATAAAGAAAAAGTAAGTATTAAACAACATGTAAATTTATCTCAATTTCTTTCATAGAAATATCCTTGAAATAGTTTCTTTAGAAAACTGGGTAAGCTCAAATACACTTCAAAGGCTTATGATACATAAAAATACACTACAGAAAATAATGTTAATAAAATAAAGAATTGTTCTAAAACATAAAATTCTACCCATCTAATATATTTCATTTTAAGGTACAATTCTACAGAATTGTTTTAGAAAATAAAAATTATAATTTAATGTATATCTTTCACAAGGTTCAGTTTTAGAGAACAGTTTAAAAATGAACCAGAGATTTCAACTAATTGTATTTCCTGTATATACTCTACCTTTATAAAATTTAGTCAACAATCAAATAATTAACACAGATTCAATGCTTTTCACATATTATAAATCTATAATAGAAAAAGCAATATTCAAATAGGTGGCAGAAATAAAAATACCTTCAGAGAGGGAATTCTATTAGGCCCAAAACTCTGCCTCCTCTTATAATAAAAAACCTGGAAATGAAGATGATTAATCGATTTGTACCAGAGTGAAGCTGGGCTGGAGCCCTGCCACCCTCTTGTGTCTTTTCTCATATATTATGCAGCTGTATCTGACATGAGTGATTCCTATATGGTAATGAAATATAAAATAATGTATGATACTAAGAAAAAAGTATAGCAAAACAATTTCTTCTGAGTAAAAGTCATCAAATTTCTATTGAAAAATGAGAATTCATTTTATAAAAATATTGCTGAAACATTTTTTATATCATCCAGGTAAGTACATATTTGCAATATCCAAAAAATTCACTAAATGTTTTCAAAAATATTTATTATAAAAATTTAATTTTCATACAGGTTGAGTAGCCTTTGTCTCGTAAAATATTTAGGACCAAATGTGTGTCTGCCAGATATTCAAGTTTTTTATGGATTTTGAATGCTTGCACACGCAAAATGAAAAACCTTGAGGCTAAGACTCAAATCTAAGCAATATTATAATTTATGTTATATATTTATACATATAGCATAAAGATAATTTTATACAATATTTTTAACACAATGCATCCTGATTGTGGTCCACTATATGACACTGGCTGAGAAATTTTATGGCTATAGTATTACTCTAACATCCTGAAAGTTTCAGACTGTGGAGTATTCAAATTTCAGATTTCAGATTAGTGATGTTCAATCTCTACATTTCAAAGCACTTTGCATGTTTTAATATGAGTAACACTGTATTTTCATTACATTTTTTACTTATGATAAATAATACTAGTTGAAAAATATTCTTAGTGTTTTTTTAATCTTTATTATATTATGCTATTTAAAACACTTCTAGATAATGAAAGAAGTTAGAATGCATTTAATCTTAATAAACTGATTCACAACTAACTGTTAGTTTTACTTATTCTTGACAGAGTATATACTAAGAAATGTTAGCTGTTATTATGGTCATAAACTAAAACTTTATACAATAATCACAATGATGACAATATACTTAAGGTATTAAAATAGCAAGCACTAGTTTGAAAAATGTCCTACTTAAAATAAGATTTTTTTATTAAGAGATTTTTTTATGGTTATGTCAACCTGGTAATCTTTTAGGTATTAAAATAATTCTTATTTTATTTTATTTTACTTTTAGTAGTACTACAGGTTGAAGCCAGAGCCTTCACATTGAACTACATTCCCATGCCTTTCTTATTCTTTAATGTCAAGCTGATAATCTTTTAGATATTAAAAATAATCATTTATTTTATTTTATTTTATCAGTACCACAGATTGAAACCAAGGCCTTTAAACTGAGCTATATCTACACCTCTTTTCTTATTTCTTATTTTATGGTGGAGTTTCACTGAGTACATAGATTCCAACTTGAGATCTCCCTTCACTGCAGCCTCCCAGCATGCTTAGATTACAAGGATGTGTAAACATGGGATTTAACATTTACAATTTAAAGTGGCAACAAACCAGTATATCTTAAATGCATGAGATATGTAAAACTAAAATTTAAAGTAATATACTATGAATACATGTGCTACACAAAGGTAAAAAGTCATCATGTAATTTTTTAAATAAAATTGAAAATATTCAGATACAACATTATTAATGAAGCATGAACTAAATAAGTAATTTAGTTAATTTCTTGAACTTCATTTTAAACAAAGAAAATATTTCCATATTAGATGTACTAACCTGGAGTAGTCAAACAATTTACTGTCCCAAAGCTCATGAGTCCCTCTAGGCCCAGAATGGAAATAACAGGAATCGGTCCCATCAAACATATTCAATCCATCTTCTGCATTTTTGGAAGCATGACTATGAACCACATCTAAGAAGACTATTATACCCATTGAATGAGCTGTGTCAACAAGTTCTTTTAGGTCTTCAGGAGTTCCATAGCGACTAAAGGCAAAGAACAAAACAAAAACATTACATTATAATTAAGGCAAACAGCCAATGGCACATCATTTTATTCAGAATATTACTACATTTTAAATACAGAAGTGCAACATATGGTACTTATATTCAATTTAAAATGGCTTGATATTTGTTATTGAACAAATTTAAAAGCTTTAGAAAATGCAATAACTCAGGCTACTAAGTATAGCCTTTTAATATCCTAACCAAAATTCCTATTTTGAGCATGTAAAACAGAAAAACTCTTACTTCTCTATCCTTGGAGATTCTGATTGCCATTTCTAAACCTAGTCAGTCTCAGTCTTTCAAACCCACTTATCTGGTTACCTGAGGCTGTTTAGAGGCACTGCAAATGTGGGCTCTTAAGAGTACTTCCTTGAAGGCCAATAACGCCTTCCGAAAGCCATCCCTCCTGCACTTGCTCACACACACTGGCTGGCAAGTGCTCACTTACCAGTGGACCAAGAGGGTGTGCTGTGTCTGTCACAGTCCAAGTAGAAAAACTGAGTAGTTCATAGGCACATACGTCTGTGTCAAAAGCAGCCTCTTAATTTATGTGTGATACAAAAAAAAATTGCCTCCAGAAGACGGCCTTCTTAATCTATGAAATATCTTAAATACTGAAATTTCCTATAACTTTGTTCTTCAGATAAATAATTTTCCTTGTTACTGTTAATAGTCTCTTGTCCTTCCTTGAAGAGAGGGACTAAAACAATATGCTTTCCAGCGACATAGTGTAATGCTTAGTCCTAAGTAAATTATGTTCCATTCCACTAACCAACAAAAGCCATCTTTTAAAACTGTAAATACAGTTGTGTCACTTTTCATTAGAAACCTTACTGCGCCCCTACCCACCTAAAATTAAAAATCATTTCTTAATATGGCTTAGTATCCTCCCTACTTTAGTATTATTAATCGATAATATGATTATCTAGTGATAGTGTCATTCTTCTTCTCTTTATCCCAGGGACATATCCTTTTTTCACTCATTGAAAAACACCCTCAACATGTAAGCCACTCTCAAGGTTCCTTCATTCATTCATTCATTCATTCATTCATTCATTCATTCATCTGTTTTTCACCAAATACCTGTGTTATTCATTATGTGCCATGACATTTTCTATGCAAAATTTATTCAGTGAAATCACTGTCCTTATAAAATGTATTCCCTAATAAGGAGATTAGCAAAATACGTGGACTGCCACACAGCAGGAAGTGTTCTAAAGAAAAAGGAAGAAAGGCCACTGGTGAAAAGTTCATTTTTGAAATAGAGTCATCCATAGCAGCTGAATAGAAAAGGTAATTCTTGAACCCAAAAGGAGAAAGGTATAGAATATATAAGCATACAAGACTTTGGAGAAGAAGGAATAATAGTAGTAGGTACACAGACAAAGGGGCAGGAATGAGCTAAGACAATTTATTCATATATATATATATATATATATATATATACATATATATATATCTTTTTTTTTTTTTCGAGACAAGGCTTCACTATATAGTTGAAGCTGGCCTTCAACTCACAGAAATACTCCTGTTTCTGCCGCCCAAGTGCTAAGATTGCAGGTATGCACCACCATGTCTGGCCTGAGCTAATCCCATTAAAAGAAAAACAAATAATCTAGTATAGCTCAAGCAGAATGGTCAAGAGAAAAAAAGAGTAGTGGCCAAAGAGCCTTATGAGCCAATGTAAGGCCTTTGGCTATTATCCCGAGCAAGACAGTGATATGATCTGATACTCTAAAATAATTACCCTGGTGATGGTACAGAAAATGGACATGTAAATTAGGAAAAGTTAGTGAAGAAGAAGGAGTATAAGAAAAAAACAGACTGATTGATTAAAGAGCTACTGAAACAATCCGGGTGAACAAGAATTTAATTTAGACCAGGCTAGTCACAGTGAAGCCAGGTAAGCAATCAACTTGGTGATATATTTTGAAGTAGCAGACTATTGACTTTCATAATAGCTAAAGGATAGAAAGAGACAGAAATGTCACAAGATTTTCAGTGGAACAACTGGAATATGAAACAATATTTACTGAATCAGTAAAGATAGTAAAAGATAGGGTGAGTTTTGGAAGATCGGATCAGAGATTTAGTTTTGGACACATTCAGTTTGAGATATGTATTAGAAATCCCAGAAACCAATGGACACCATCTGAAGTTCACAAGACAGGCCAGGAATGGACATTTAATATTTGAGAACTTTAAGAAAAGATGTGTTAAGGCCATAAGGATAGGTATAGAAGTAAAAGGAAGCAAGGATTGAATGGGAGGAGCAATATTTAGTAGCTGGAAAGAGGAAAAGAACAAGCAACAAGTGAAGGAAATACAACAGCAGCAGTGTGATGTGCTAGAAGCCAAGGAAAAAATACTCCAAGAAGGTGAGAGTAAGCAATTGTGACAAATGATACTGACAGTTCAATAAATGAAGACCTGAACATTGTATTTAATGATATGAACGTTATCAGTACGCTTAGTAAAAACACTTTTGGTATACAGCTTATTTGATTGAGTTCAAGAAATATAGAAGTTTAGATTGTTCTTCTATGACCTTGAAATATACCATAGGATTATTTATTTGAGTTTGGAAAAGAAGAAAAAGAAGAAGGAAGGAGAAGGAGAAGGAGAAGAGAAGGAGGACGAGAAGAAGGAGAAGATGGAGACGGAGACAGAGACAGAGATGGAGAAGACGGAGAAGACGAAGAAGATGAAGAAGAGGAAGAAGAGGAGGGGGAAATGGTCAAAGAAAAACAAAAAGAAAGGAGTTAAGAATTTAGACACAGTAAATACAAGATAACTTATTCAAGTATAACTATTATAAAGAAAAACAGAGAAATGGACTGTTACTGTCTCTGTTTCAGATGTTAACTACCTAAGTCCAATTTTTACTTCACTTCAGCTAATATTACTCATGCTTACCAGTTTATATTTAATATAAAATAATAAATCTCTAATTCTATTAGTTTTATTACCAGCAGAATTCATACTATATATATATGATTACTGGATTAATATTTATAAATTACCACATGTAAATTTAGTTGAGGTAGAGACACTGTTGGACTTGTTATATGTGTGATCATCCAAGTCAGAGCTCTTCAATATTACAGAACCCCTTAGAGTCATTATATACAGAGTTATATTCCTCACATTGCAGCATGGGAAGTGTAGCCCTTCTGTATGTGATGAGAAGTCCTGCCCAGGAACTTCTCAATGACCTTCCTACACGAGTCAGTATCTTTATAAAAAGGATGTGAGCTCTTTCAATAAAGAATTCTGTAGGATATCGTTTTCCAACATAAGAATTGGGCCTCTAACCATGTCACAATTTTAGCAGATAATTAGACATTCTTTATCCAAAGTCATTCCTTGAAAAGTCACATTAAATAAGGGCCAAACTATAGGCCAAGATGAGAAGCAAGACCATGATTTTGGTAAAAGAAAATGAATAGATTATTTTTTTTAATCCTAAAATAGGTCACAAAATAACACCACGTTGAATGCAAAAATTCATTTTTTAATTAAATGAACTTGAATATAAGACTTGCATTTTACCTTGAAGCTGCAAAAAAGCTTGTGACTTGGTACCCAAAACTGGCATAGTAAGCATGCTCCATGATCGCCATCAGTTGAATGCAGTTGTATCCTATATGAGCAAAAGTCAGAGATTCAAAGACACAAATTTTTTGTTAAAAAAAAGAGAGAGCAATGAAAAAAAGCATCCTAAAGGGATAAATTTTACAATCTATAAATTATCTTTGCAAGTTCTACTACTAAACCTTATTTACTTGTTTGACCTTCTAATACAAAATCAAGTACTTATTGTTAGCTAGCTGAAATTTCATTTTAACAAGCAATAAATGATATGCAAATCCACTCTTAATTTTGATTTAGAATATTAAAGATGGCAATCTACATATGTTAAACTTCAGTTGTACTTGAACATATGAACATTATAGAAGATGAAGATAAGTAACTGATTGTACAATACATACTTTTAGTTTTGACTTTTTCTTCGTATTTCACTAATTTTTTACAATACAGCATAAGAAATATCACTTTCTCTATAAAGCAGCATTTATAAATCACTATTAATGTTTCCAATTTCCACTATTTTTATATATGTAAATTAAAGTTGTATAAACCATGCAATTATGCATATATAGACATGTATACACTCATAGTTTCTCCATATAAATATATGTTACTCAAATATTAAGTGCATAGACTCAAAAAGTTGGTTGTTGCATTTAAAAATTCATAATATTCATAAGCATTTACTTTAAGGATATAATAAGAGAAAAATGGTTTTAATTTTTTAAAAAATCTGAGAAAATCAAATTTTTCTTCTTTATAGTAAAACTGGAAAATTTTTCAAATAGAATTTGATGGCTTTGAAAGTTACACTTCTGTAACCTACATCAACAATATTATTATTATGTTCTTACTAGACAACTCATATAGTTTCCAATTTTCTTGAGGTTTACTTAAGTTCATATGCATTACCAGTTCATTAAAATATATAACGTTCTTGTAAATTAACAAAAGTGTCGAATTAATCTCATTGATCTCTTACATAGTAGTTTCTCATACACATTTGCAGTACATCATTCATACTGGAAAAATTATAAATTCACATTCAGAATTATGGATTAATATATTTAAGGAGGAACATACCATTGTGTTCATGATTTCATTAGGTACTGAAAAGTTATTGTTACAAAAACAAATTAGCTCTACCAGGAGTGACTGGAATATGGATATAAAATCTTATTCACATTACACAATCAGTTATTATATATTTTAGAGCAAAATTTAGTGCTTATAGTTTATTTCTCTACTGTACAATAAGTAGTTTCAGAATCAAGCACAGTTTTTTCCAGTGCTGAGTAATGAATGTAGGACCTTCTTACTGAATTATGTCCCCTGCCCTTTTTTATTTTGAGGAAGGATCTAACTAAAGTCACTACAATTCCCAGGCGGGTTTCAAACTAGCAATTCTCCTCCTTCAGTCTCCCAGAGTACTCAAGTTAAAAGTGTGTACCACCATATCTGGCTTTACAATTAATTTTGTAGTGTTAATAAATCTGGGATTCATTTATGTTCTAAGTACTAGGCTAGGTATTTAAACATAAATAAGTAAGAGAATCCCTGCACTGCTGAGCACATACAAAATCTGGTTATAAATAATATGCTATATAGAAATATGAAAGTACATCTTCTAAACAAAAATTCAATATAGTGCATATTAAATTGAACTAATGTTAAATATTCTTGCATTTATTTATTTACTGGAATTTTAGTTTTGGCATCTCAGATAATTAAGATTTGTATGTCACTAAAAATTTTAATTCTGACTTATAAACTTTACCTCGAGTCAAAATATAGACTTTCTGGCAAAAATAGTATAATTAAATGTACTTTATCCTCCTATCTAGTCCTTGGAAGAGCTTTTAGTAACACTGTAAAATATTTTTAAAAGCATTACGTATATAAAAAATAACAGACATACTGAATCCATAATTCAGTAATATACTATTTATTATATTGGTTGTTCCTGTGAAGACAGAGTGTATGTCATTATGATCTAATACTTGAAAATCTTGTGAAAAGTGTTTCACACAGATGATATTCCATAAATGCTTGTTAAAAAAGTCATCCTGACAGGGACTTTATACAACGATTCTGATTCAAATTGAGTTCCAGTCACCTTAAAAATATAAGACTGCCTTCCCTAAAATACTAAAATGAACAGCCTGTAATCAATGACCACTTCAATTAATAAAGATTATCTTCTGTAGAAAAGTAATTATGCTTACATATTTATCTACAACTTTGAAAGCCAACAGTTCACATTACTTAAAATTGAAAATGGAATAATATCTTGAATTCTCATTCTATATCTTACTCTATTTTTCTTTTCTATGCTATCACTATTACAGGGCAATTCTAGCAGCCTGAAATAAAATGCATTTCTATTACATATTTAATCTGTTAACACAAAAAACAGACACTTGTAATTAGCTTTTCTAATAAGAGAACAGACTCATTAAAACTTTATCTGAATAAAAATCATAGTTATTACTTACCAAGGTCTTTGATTCTTGGTAATACATTGCATGTAAAATGTTTATAAGAAGCTATTTTTCCTTCATGAGAAGAAATTCCCACATGAGATTCATAAATTCTCAGACTTCTTGGCTTTTTTGGTTTGGAATGCTTAAACTACAGAACATAAAATTACATATAAAATTAAACCATGCATTCACTATAACACTAGTTGATCAAGACTTTATATAAAATGGTGAATAAACTCAAACACTTGAAAACTTTTTAAATACAAAAATCACTCACCAAAAAAAAAAAAAAAAGTACTTAAGCACTTGTTAATTTACCTGGTTTAAGAGAAAAAATTGTCATGTAATGGCACATGCCTTATCATTGAGTAGAAAAATAAAGTTAGCCTACTCCTTAAAAAAATACAAAAGCCAAGAAATGCATACATAGTTATCAAATGTAAAGCATTTATCAACTAGACACAAAATTTACACTATTTAATCATTTCTGAGACAGCCTTCCCAACCTGCTATTCCTAAGAACACTGACCCTACTTCAAAACTGTGACAAAAAGCACTATTACATCATTGAAGTCTTTGAAAATCAGAAATTCTGGCTATAAAAACAAATTATCATCTTTTATCTATAGTATGTTGAGATTCAGTGTTTTTTCTAATTTCAAATACAGAATAAAACTTCCAGGCACAGTAGCATCCACCTGTAATCCCAGCACTCAGGAGGCTTAGGCAGGAGAACTGCTCTAAGTTTAAGACTAGCCTGCCCAAATAGTGAGTTCAAGGCTAGCCTAAACTACACAGCAAGATCCTGTTTCAAAAACAAACAAACAAAAAACAATCTATTTCTGTATTCTATTATATGGATAACAGACTTTGATCTACGTATAGCACAAGAGGAACACTATCATGTACAATACTAAACTGGTTGTAAAGAAAAACATTGGACATTATCATAAAATTATAAGAGTAAAAGTCAATTTTCGTAAAAATACTACAATAAACATTTATTTACAAATTTGTTATTCTCACTTTATATGGGTGTTCTGGATCCCAATGTATCCAATCATAATTCACATTACCACCTTCACGAACCACATACTTCGCCCACGGTGAAATACGGTACAAGATCTCTCCACTTTTACTAGTAATAACTACCTAGAAAGACAACAGAAAATTATTGCCTTAAAATACTTAAAAATCTAAGACAAAATGTGATACTTAATGAGCAATGTCATATGCAGGAAATGAGGAATGATTTGAAGAATTCAGACCACAATTCAGATGCATTGGCTTAAATAACATATTTAAATCCCATTAACATTAATTTCCTCATTGCCCAATATTATATAATCTTTAAGTTCATTTACACGTTGGGTAAATTATGAATCTCTACCAATTTCTATGATTGAAAATGAGCTATCAGAATGCTCAACTAAACATACAGTAGGTACTAACAAGACAAGTAAATTTAAAAGATATGATTATTTGGAAGCTGCTATCAATCAATATAAAGCATCTTACTCTTTAAAAAAAGGGATAAGTGAGTTATATAATCATTGTTTCCTTTCCTTTTCATGGAAATTAATGATAGTATTTTCAGGAAGCCAAGAAGGAAGAATGGTTGGATTAACACATGCATAATACAAGCACATACACACTTATTTCCTACCCATTTTTGACTTCTTACCAAAGATCCTTCACCATATTAAAACAAACATGATTTCCTTTAGCTCCCTACTCTACATGGAAATAACATCAGTTGCATTTTAATATTGTAAGATAGCAATAAAATAAAAACACAGTTTTAGCATCTATCATTTTATAAAAGGACTCTGAATTTAGCTAGTCATATAATCCTAGCTTCCAAGTGATTAAAATTGTAGCTTTTTACAAACCTATATTTTTTTCTTAAGCTTTCTAAAAGCAGGTAGAGTATGACAAAAAATATTGAGATCAAAAGCTACATTATGCTCTTACCACTGAGAGAAAACATACTTCCCGGTTTCTTTTCTGTAACAGTGAAAAGCTCAAGTACTTATAATACCTGTTAATTAAATATTTGTGTAATGCCTTATAATTTAGTGAGGACTTCCACACATATCTTGCTTCATTCCAGATAAGCTTTATGACTCAAATATTAAGTGAGATTAAGTGAGAGTAAGTTAATGTACAAAACGCACAATTGGCAGAATCAAAAGTTGAACACAGAGCTTCTGACATTTCCTTGCTTGATGGAGGCTTCCACAGCATTTCTTTCAGATGTCAAAAAGGAGCAAGTTATGGTTTATTAAAGAGGGGGCAGGTGATTGGTAAAAAGGAATACTTAATTTACAAGAACACAATTTTTCTCTTTCTTTAGTATGAGCCTATTCACTAAAGCTAATCACAGACAGGATATCGTTATTATGTATTATCACAAAAAGTATGAATCAACTTACATTGGCAATATTTTAACCTCAAGCATATGTCCCTTAACCTATGTAAATGCCTAGTACAATGCTCAACGGTGCTTTCTTAGGAAAAAAGGTGTTCATTCAAGAATATAGAACAGAATGTGAGAAAAAAATACTAGTTTTCAAAGAACAGCATTCTGCCCAGCCTATCGAACTATCTTTCTGTTTTGTAAGCAAGACAACAAAACAGAAAGATGAAGATGTCTGTTGGCAAGGAGAATATCTGGAAGTGTAAGAGTTTAAGGAAGTTATTGTGTGCTGTTATGCTAGGAGTAGTAATTCCCACATCCTTCAGAACTTTACTTCATTTATCCTGCTGCACACCTATATATTTTCAGAAGCTACTGATTCCTGAGTATTCGTCTAAGAAACAGCCCTCTGTGGGCTTTTGATGCTCCTATGGCTTTTGATGGGTACTCTAAGAATATAATGCCTGGAACATTGTTATTGGAGATAATTTCTTAGGGTTGTGTTTGTAGCTAGTTATCCTGAGGGATGAGATAATATCTTAAAGATGGAGTAAGCTCTCTTACTGCTTGTAGTAGAAGAATGGATTCCAAAGCCTCAATACAGGATAACATGTAAAACCACTGCATAAATTAGCCATCTAGGCTACACAACATTGTCTCCGTTGAGATTAAAAAAGGAACCAATGCAAATAAAATTATTGTTTTTTTTTTATTTAGGAGGCCCATGTTTTCTGTAAGAACCAATGAACAAAAATAAAACTTCCACTCTTGTAGGTAAGGTAAAGTTAAATCAAATCACATGCCTGAATAAGGATTATTTTTTCATTCATTGAACAATTTGAATATTTTTTTTCTAAAATTTCTCTTCCTGCTCCTCAAAAACAATTTCTACAGGGTTGCTCATCTGAACAAGACATTCAGCTTTCCAGTTTCTGCGAGAGATCCTCATGGCCAGCTAGGTGGTAAGACCAAGACAGGCAGACCCTAAATCTTATATCATATGAAACTAAATACAGTAACATAGGAGCTTCAGAGGAAACCACATAAAGGAAGAAAACAGAAAAAGCAGGAGTAATAAAGGGAAGTTGCATCAATCCTGGATCACAGCACCCCTTATGCTCTAGATCCAGAAATCAGGCCATTTTAGGAAAAGATCAAGCTCCCTAAGACAGCCTGATTGTAGCTTACCTGATGGATTAAGCTTCCAGTCATCCTGCTCTGCCCACCAGAGTAGATTATGATATTTGCAAGCTAGGGCTTCAGTGAAACTAAAAGCCAAAATATAGTGTATGACACGATGTAGGCAGAATCTCAAAGATTTGGAAACAAACATTCTGATCAGATTAGGAAACAGAAATCCAAGAGCTGAAAGGACAGAAACCCAGCAGCTGTGCGAGTGAACAGCATCTGGGAATGGATGGGTTCTTTGGAACTGGAATTCGAGCTCAGTGAAAACTGGCCCTGTTGCATAATGACAACATCTGTAATGGCAGGACCTATTAGATACCCAAATCTGAGTACTGAGAAAACTACTTTTGATGGCTGCATGAGTAAGTACTGTTTGGACCCTGGTGAAGAGGAGGCCAGGCGGACTCAGAAATAATTGCTCAGTCATTCTTCCTCTACATGTGGGGAGTGACGTGCTTAGAGGACATGCAGTGTGCTGTCCATGCCCAATGGCAGGTGTCAGTGGAGGGAAAACACACAGCCAGTCAACAGAACTGTATTGCAAGAGGGACCTGGAGGAAGTGAATGGAGAACTGGGTACTTGGCCGATTATACTTCATTCTCAAACTAACTGTAGTCGTCAGACTTTGGAACCAAGACAGCAATGTACAGCTAGCTACTCCCAGAGCACTGCTTGCAACTAGGAGTAGGCACATGCAGTCAACAGGTCTCTTTCCTCACAGACAGGCAACTGAGCCAACCCTGTGGGTAGGGACTTGCTTGGAGATTACAAGAAAAATCAGATTTCAATAGAAATGAGACAGTGTGGGCCGGGGATTTAGCTCAGAAGATGACAAGATATAATAACATACCCATTCTGGTTTGATTATTAACTGCTTTTGAAGGCCTACAATGTCTCCAAAGTTGTGTTTTTATTAAAATAGTTATGTAATGCTACGTTCTATTATTAAATGTCTGATGATATGGACAACTCTTGTGAAAATAACAAGAGAAAGCATAGTAACTACTGTAGATCACCTAATAATATGGTTTTATATGTCTTTTTTTTCATGTTTTTCTAAGAATTTTTTTGTCTTGTTATGATCTGTTTTCCCCTATAATCCAGAAAGGATAGATATGCATGTAGAGATTCACACATGGGGAGAACTTCTAAACAGTTTACAGGAACAGATTATATAATACACGATGTAACCAACATACTCTGAAGAAGAGACACTGAGAAACCCAGTGCTAATTCCGTAACATTATGATATAAAATCTAGCAAAACTATTATTCACTGTTCAGAGTGATATTAATCTAGTCTCTTATGTCCAATTTCAGCATACGTAAAGATAAGGAAAGCTACTATGAAGAGAATTCCTGGCCCCTACAAGGCACATTTAATTACAAAATAATTTCATAGGCTAAAAAACTCAAAGGATAGAAAACAGCATTACATGCAACAGGAACCTGAAAGGAAGGAGTGACTTTTAATTTCAGGTAAAGCAGATTTCAAGCCAAAACCGATCAGAAGAACAAAAGAAAGTCACTTCACATTGGTGAAGGGAACGCTTTACCAAGAAGGAATAACTGTGTCTGTATCTATCTACCTATCTATCAAACACCGGCATGCACATATTCATTTAAAAAACATTAGTAGACATAAAAGATCAGATGAACACAGGCACAGTCATAATGGAGGACCTGAACATGCCACTATCACAAACAGACCAACTAGACAAAAACTCAGCAAAGAAGTATCAGAGAATTATCTACACTATCAAATAAATACTTAATACATATCTAGAGTATTCTACCCAATAATATCATAATCCAGTCTTCTCATTTACTAGCCATAAACCTCACTTAAACAAATATAAAACAATCCAAATTATCTCATGTATATTATCACATTATAATGCAATGAAACTAGAAGTCAATGGTCACAAAGAAATCTCAGAAATTTTAGAAATGCCTAGAGATTAAGTAACACACTGTTCAAAGTCAATGAGTCATAGAAAACATCAAGAAAAAAATTAAACAGTTCCTAGGATCAAAGGATGACTGTATACAAGCTTCCACAGAATCAAAAAAAATGTATTCTGTGAATGCCCATATTACAAGAACAGAATGTGCTCAAACATGTAACCTAATGATGTACCTCAAAATCCTAATGGTGCACAATCTATATCCAAAGCTTATTGCCTCATTCTATTAAAACAAAGAAACTCTGTTGGAAGATAAGGCAGGCATACAAATACTTTTTCAATAGAAAACAAACTGCTCAAGAAATAACATCAAGAATCATGAACTCGGACTGCAGCAAACTAAAAAGTTTGTGCACAGCATACAGAATCACCAAAAGAATGAAGATATAAAAGACAGAATGGGGAAGAAAAATCTTCCAGCTACTTCTCAAAAATAGCCCTAATATCTAAAATATATAAAAACCCAAACACTAGAACCCTAAAAATAAAAAATTCAATCATGAAATGAGCAAGTTAAATGAATGGAAATTTTCAGAAGCAGTACAAGTGAACAATTAAACCATAAAAACAGATCCAA